CACACACACAGGCGCGCACACACACACCCCATTGATCAATATTTGGCTGTCTTGCTGCAACTTGCTGCAGTCTTTTAAAGGAGTAGTAGAGAGAGAGGGAGAGAGAAAGGGAAACTGACAGGAAGGGGTAAGGAGCTACACATGTCACATGTGCTTTCTAAGACGGCCAGGAGCATCTGCAGGCTGGACCAGTCGTTTTTCTACAAGCTGGGCTTATTCGTGAGCAGGCATCCGGTGTTTTTCCTCACTGTGCCCGCAGTCCTGACCATCATCTTCGGCTTCAGCCTGCTCAACCGCTTCCAGCCTGACACTGACCTGGAGAGCCTGGTAGCCCCCAGCCACAGCCTGGCCAAGATCGAGAGGAGCTTAGCCAGCAGCCTTTTCTCCCTCGATCAATCCAAAAGCCAGCTGTATTCGGACTTGCACACCCCGGGGAGGTATGGCAGGGTGATTCTCCTCTCCAAACCCGGAGGCAATATTTTGCATCAGGCTGATGTGATCCTGCAGATCCACCGAGCCGTGCTGGAAATGAAGGTGAACTACAAAGGCTATAATTATACTTTTTCCCATCTGTGTGTGTTGAGAAATCAGGATAAGAAATGCGTGCTGGATGATATTATTTCAGTGCTAGAGGATCTGAGGCAGGCTGCCCTCTCCAATAAGACAACAGCCAGGGTGCAAGTGAGCTATCCCAACACTAAATTAAAGGTATGCTCTTACTGCATGCTTTTGCCAATTAAAGAGGCAGCACTTCATTTCTTGTCCTAAACAGCAAAGAGAAATATAATCTTATCTCTCTCTCGATAACTATATGTGTGTGTGATCTGGGCTTTCCTCGGGAAGCAGCTGAAACCGGTGCCTTGCTATTGTTCTGTACGAGGAGGGAGGGTGGGGGGACTGTACGCTAACGCACCAGGAGAAGCAGGGAGTGGAGAACAGCTTCGGAATCGGGAGACCTTGCGATGCCTCAATACACCCGGGAAAAGGGACAGGAGGTTGGGGAGAAGGGGGGGTTGAGAGCTGGGGTTTCACTATCACCTTTCCCAGCCCCACTGCTGTGATGGGTTAATTTATCTTTAATATGGTCAGAAAAGGCTTTCCTCAAATGCACGGTGAGCTCCTGTATCTCCCTGCCTCTGCGAGTGCCGTAGGAGCAGCAGGAGGTTTGGGACAGAAGCGATTTCAGGTGTCCTGCCTTCTTTTTCTTTACCTGCATGCAAAGAAAGGGGAAGGGAGGTGGAATTTTTTTCTCTCGGTGTGAAAATAGTTAACTCTGCTGCTGATGGATGGGCTGGAGTTTTGGGACGGATCCCATCAGCTAGAGGCTTCCGGCAAAGGCAAAACAAGGTAAAAGGTGAAAGAAGTTTGAGTCCTTCCAAATAAAAGAATAAGCAATTTGGCACAAATGATCTTAGGAATATTTCCCTGGCATGCAAGCATTCGTCTGCTTTCCCCCTCATCTGGAGCAATCCAGTTCACCAGGACTAACCTGCTATGAGCAAATAAGGTGCAAAGTTTGCAGGTGGCTGCTGAAAGAAGTTTCTGTGAAATACAGTCTATCTGCATGCTTCCCCAGGCATTGCACCAGAGACAGGATCTATTAACAGAGTGTAACAAACTCCCTAGCCCACTAGTTACTCATGGCTCAGGTCATAGGGAAGAGGATAAGGTCCTCGTTGCAAACTAGAGAGGCTCTTTGGGGTTAACTGTCCCCCTTTTTTCAAAGAGATCCTCAGGGGTGAGAGAGGTAGTGCTCTTGCAAGTACCGGCCACATCGTGAAGTTATCATTTGTTTCTTACTGTTCATTCACCAGGAAAAAAAAGTAAAGCTGATCTCTGCCCCTAAAACTGAAGCAGAGACACAGATTGATTTTGTTGGTCTTTTTGCTTCAGCAAAAGGGCCAGATGGGACAGCTGGGATTTGGTACCACTGCTCTGGATGTTATGGTGATTGCTTTGTGCGGAATTGTGGCCAAGTCGAGTGTGTGGAAATGAAAAGGTGTCTGTCCTTGCTGCTGTGGGAAAGTCCTGAGTGCAAGGAGTGCTCAGAAACAGAAGTTACTCTGGATTAAATATCTCTGAACAAATTCTATCTTTTAATTCATCATGAAGACAATCCTGCTATTGCAGTTTCCATTTCCAACAAAGTGTTTTGTTTCCATTTTGCTTATTTTTAAAGTCAATATTAAGTTAGTTCAGTGGACAACACTGATAATCTGGACTGACATAACTATAAACCAGCTTTATACAGAAATAGTCATTCTACTCTCTCAATCCAGATTAATTTCCTGTATAGAGAAACCTTAACTGAGTTTAGAGAAACTAGGATGGGGTCACTTGCAATGTGTTTTTTTACTAGGAGAGTGCCTACAGCTCCTCCTTTTTTAAAGATAAAAGTGAAGGAGAAAATAACCTGGTCTGGATTAGAGATTTGTTGGCATAAGTCATTGGTAGATAATTCACACATAAAAAGGCTTTCCCAAAGCGTAAATATCTGACTCTGAGCACTGTCCAATACCAGCGCAGCACCTTCAATGTTACGTGTCATCTTCCAGGTGAAAGAATAAATGCCCTTAAGTATCTCAGTTTAAAGTTGGACACTTTCTACCCGCTTCTCAGTGAGGGAAGGTAAAGCCACCAAAATCTGTGGCTGCGCTTTAGAGAAAAGCTAATGATTACAACTTATTTCTGTGGATAGGGAAAGTCCCTGGTGTCCCTGAGAAACAGAAACATGCTTTGCCACAGTTTTTGTTTTTCTGGTACGGTAAGGACACTGTTGTAGGACCGCGGTCAGTCCTGAACCTGGACTGGCCTTCAGCTATGGCATGTCCTCAGAGACTCACCTGCTTGGATCTCTTCAGCTCCAGCTGCTGGGAATAAATTACTACTTTGTACAGATAAATTCACTCGGTGAGCTCTGTCTCTGTCATCTACCAAGCTACACGGTTAGGAAGTTGTGGGCAAACATCTCTTGCTCTCCTTCAAGACATGGCCAAAACACTCATTTAGTCTAGACTCCCAGGCTATTTACGCACCTCCCTCTCTCCACACCTCTGAGAAAAGGCTGTAGAAACCCAGGCTTGTGTCACTTGTTTTGGGGTGTCCAGACGTATTTAACTAGAAATATCTCAGATGCTGCACCCACTGGGATAGATCAGTCTCTGGATGTTCAGTAAAGGGAAACAACCCCTGTGGCTGTATCTATGAGGGTTTTCATTTATTTTACTTGAGTCATGACATGAAGACTGTGGCAAATCCACCTGCCCTTATTCAGGGTGGACCACTATTAATCGCATTCACCAGTCCATGTCCTTGGGAGATTTCTCAGGTAAACTTTCCTGCGACATAAGGACCCACTAGGATCTTCTAGGTTGCCTCACTTTCTCAAAGGACGCGTTGCTTTGTTAATATTGGAAGATTTTGCTCTGTCTTGTTCTTCTAATAATGGCCTCAGATTGAATAAAATTCTTCTAAGAACGATATGGTGGGTTTACAAACCACAAAGGTGTCCCAGATGTGTTTAGTCTGCAGCTGACATGGGTCAAGTGTCAACCTGCACTGGTTTGGGAACCGCAGTGACAATGTTGAGATGTTCAATGTCTCTCCTGCTCCATCTGGGAGCTGCAAAAACATCTAGTTTTTTCTTTCTCTCAAGCCTTGTGAGTTCCTTTCACTTTGTCCCTCTTCTTATGCCCTGCTGGAGCCCAGATTGGTTCGGGTGTCTTGGGTGAGACTGGCAGAAGACTGGCTGTGGGAGAGCTCTTGCCAGCTCTTTCATGGGAGCTTTGTGGGAGCTGTATGAGCAGGTTTCAGTAAACTGCGCTGGCTTTGAAACAGCTGCTACGGGGCTGCAAAATCTAATGAAATTGCTTGGCTTTTCCTAAGAAAATCTGGCCGTGAAGGGTAATGATTGTTTAATCATTACTTGCTGTAGTGTTGGAAGAGTTTATAGCCTTGAATATATATATTTCTTGAATAGCCTTGAATATATATCTGTCTTCACTGTCTCTCTGTAAGTCGGGCAGTCTTGGTCTCTCCACTTGCCAGAGGAGGAGCAGAGAGATGCCACTTACATCCAGAGTGCAGACTGCAAAGTGGTTTCAAATGCCTGAGATGGGTTTAAAACCCACTCTGACAACACAGGAGTCATTGTAGAAAAGATTACTCTCCTGAAAGACCAGGTGAACCAGGGTGTATGAAAATACCTGCTCTCGTTGCTTTGGGGACACTCTCTAACCTGTTCACAGTTATTACTACGCTACACTGCAGTCTGCAGCCCAGCCAGAAGAATGACTTGCCCAAGGTCATGCTGATAGACGGTGGCATAGCAGGAAAGCAAACCTGGATGTATGAAGTCTTGATGAAGATTTTTGAGATAGCATCCTGGAGCAAGATTGCTCATGTTTTCCCCAGCCCAGGACAAAAACAAAAACAAAAACAAACCTATATTCCTGTCTGGGGGTCTGGATTGTGCCCTAACTACATAGACTGGGCAAGTCTAGGCTAAGTACTGACCCTCAGACATCAAACTGTTAAATCATAAGCTTTAACAAGTCCCGACATCATTTTTGTCAATTAAGACATTCAGGACAGTGCCTGGGCATGGCCTGGGAGACAGCATGGGAAAGGGTCTATTCCTGGTTGGTAGATCTACTCTGTTCTGGAGATAACAGTGTGTATCTGCTTGGATATGTTGTGTCTCTGCCCCTGGGGCCAGAGTATGGTCTGAGGCACACTTTATTTATTGGTATAGACAGAATTATTGATTACATGGGGATTACTTCTTGCATACTATCAGATATGAGGAAAGAGATTGGGTTTTGACTCTAATTTGCCAATAACCCCAGCAAATTTGCTGTTCTTATCAGGAAAAAAGAAAAACAAATCACTACAAAGAATGACGATTTATGAACATAGTCCTAACCTGGGGGGGGGGAGGGGAAGCATGAAAGTATTTTTTCAGGTATTTCACCTTTACTGTTTCTTTTCATGTTTATTTGCTAGTTTGAGAAAAGATAATGACTTAGAACTTATCTCTCTGAGATCAGAACGAATATGACAACTGCTGGTTAAAAGGAGCCTTTGTAAACAGATTGTTTTTTGTAATGCTGCCTTCGATTAATTAAATATCAGTCATTTATGAACACTACGCTAAACAGCAGCCAATAAAGCAGACGTCTTTATTACCACATTTGTGATAAGCACCTCAGATGGATATTGAATCCTTTATTGCTTAAGTAGAAAAGTTACTTGCATTCACTTAGCATCTTGAAACCTGTAATTGCAGATTTGCTACTGGCCAGATTCTCAATTTTTCTCACACTAGCAGCTGTACTTTTAAATGAGTCTTTCTCTGTTTGCATTCATGGTGCCTTTCCCACTGGTCTAAGATTAACCCCTCCTTCGATGACCCTGGGGCACTGACCACATCCGTAGGACAGAAAGGGTATAAGACCAGAAACCACCTCCACCAGAATAGGCATCTGCATATCAGTAATATCCACAAGCCAATTATTCCTTCAATCAAGTAGGTTCAAGTATAAGATTACTCTGACTCTAAGGATCAGATGCTTCCTCGGAGGCAATGTGTACCCATTTATGGTACCACACATCCCAATCAAAGCCCATGGCTCAGGACCCTGTGAAGTGCTCCTTGGCTGGCAAAAGCTGCTAAGCCAAATCAAAATAACAAAATATGAGCAGGGAGA